TCCCTTTGAATTTAGATGCATTCATCTCATTCCTTGCTCCAGGGTTTAATCCCTGACTACTCTCACCTTCATTTCTGCCCAGGTCACATAATGCCAGTGAGTGCTCCTGGAAAAGGAAAGTTTCTTCTTCCTTCCTCAGGAACTACTGAGAGAGACCCTTTCTCTCTGCCTAGATAGTGTCATATAAAATTGTGATGTATAGAATGGCTGCAACTATATTTATTGCCAAGATTGGAAGCAGTCTGAGGATGAACCTACCCATGGAACAGGAGACAACCAAGAGAATGGCAGAGATTGAAACTGCAGCCCTGATGTCACTGTGAATCTCTTGATCAGCTTTCTTCTGGATTTTTCAATTAGTGGGCAGTAACAGCTCTCCCTCTATTTAGAACTTTCCATTTGTTTGTTTAGAAATATTTATTTTGTGGCTACTGTATGCTACACACTGATAGGCATTAGTAATATGGTGAGATGAATGAAATACGTTTCTTACCCTCATGGGGCTTCCAGATAGAATGGAGGAACAGATTTGTAATGAGGTAAATGGGATAAAGAGTTACCAGAGACAAACCATAGCGAGCTTTTTGATAGTTGCCGTAGAAAAAAGCGATGGAGGACGTGGTTCCTGTTACTGCTTATGGAACTATAAGAGCGCCATGTCAGAGGAACCCGCACCGTAAGCCCACAGCTATCTCATGTTGTTAGCAGTGGTTTAATTTCAGCCAAGCTTTATTTTTCACATTAAATTAGTGTTGATTTGGGTTTGTATTTAATTCATGAATTTGTTGGCTTTATAATTTAAGAGCTATAAAAATAAGGAGTCTATTTTTAATTTTATTTATACACAAATTTGTCAGTGATTGGGTAGGTCCATGAAATTTTTTTCTTCTTAAAAGGTATCCTTTACTCAGTTTTGAGAAACACTGGTAGGGGTGGGTACCTGGGAACCATGGAAGAATTGAGACAATGGATGGATAGAGGACAAGATAGTAAGCAGAGAAATCTCTTAGTTTAGGTTGATAATGAGAAGTTTGAAGGTGTAGAAGTGGAATTTGAGAAGAAAAAGAATACAAGATACGTTCACTACATATCCTTTGTGGCTTATTAGATTTGCGGGGTGAGGGAGAACCCCGAGAAGTCTCGCCGGTGACTGGATGGATGCTGTAGCTACTCAGAAAAAAAATGGAGACTATAGGAGGGGCTGAGGTGAGAGTTGGGGTGTGTATGTTTGTGAGATGACAACATCTGATTTGAATGTCTTGAATTTAAGGTGTCTTTTAAACATCTAGGTTAAAAAGTCCTATAGTTTAGGAGACAGGTAAGGAAAAGGAACATAATTTAGGAGTCTTCAGCTTTTAGAAAGTACTTGAAACCATGGAATTATGAGATTGCCCAGGAAGATTTTATTGAGTGAGAATTGAGGCCAGGGATATTGTAGGTGGTCTTGGAAGAGGAGTCCACATTCTCTCCTGTCTTTGCTTTTCTGTGCCACTAGCCCTCATATTCAGAATCCCTGGTGAGTGTGTATTTGGGAAGCAAAGAATATTGAGAAAGAGAAAAAATAATCCTCGAGAGAGATACATTTTAAGAGTAACAAGTATTAAACTCTGCAGTGTATTTAAGACTTTTGGTTTTCTTTCCCAACTCACTATTGCCCTCAGTAATAGAGATATTAGACTATTGACCTTAACCTGTATCATTTCCATCCAAGTGTGCAGATCTGGCACTTTTTTTTCCCCCCATGAGGGCCAATTCAGGAAAAGATAACAATGTTTACGATTGTGTAGTTCCTGTATGGATATACAAGGTATCTGATCAGAGTAGGGGATATTTTAAAGCAAGAAGTTAAAGATCCTTCTTCACACAAACAATCCTTGACAAACAGAAGGATGTGAGTCTGAGTACTTCATTTGTACAGGATACTCTTGAAGATGTGAGCTATGGACTTGAAGATGTGGTTAGGGGGACCCTAATATACAGTTGTTATCAATAAACATCAATAGTGAAACTGGGCAACACAAGGTGCCATGAGGAGAACAAGACGTTACAATGTCAAATTTTGACAATCAAAACTTTGATTTAAAAAATGAGGAGTTATGAAATAGGTCTAATTACATTAAGGCAACAAGTAGTCCTTTGGAGATTTCTTGAGTTTAGGAATAAAAATGCCAGTTATATATCTTTTAAAACATTTACTACTTTGGAACTACTAAAAAAACAACCCAATTCTTTTACCCTTTCCTTATTGTGTGTATGTGTAAAAATATTTGTTAAACATATTTTATACTTATTTACAACTTCATTTATTTATGTTTATTTATGACACATACATGAGTCCACTCTTATTTATCTTGGTAAATAAACAAGTGTGGAAATCAACAAAGTAGTGTCTGGCAAATTTAACATCCTTTACTGACACCTAGCATGCTACAGGACTGATTATGGAAACTTAGGATTTGGAAAGGTCAGACTGACTAGAATTCAGAAAGTCAAGTCCAATTACATTGTTATTTATGATGATTCAGTTTGATCAATATCTGTTGACTGAATCAGAATGAAATATTGAATTTAAGCATATGCAGGATATACAGGGCAATAGTGAGGAGGGGAGAGGTTTAATATTTGAAAATGTTGGTCGCAGAAATCTCAGTGACCACAGATTAATTTCAACTGGCCCAGTAAGAAATTTATCCAAGAGAGTTTGAGATGGAGTGTGTGAGTAGACTAAAGTATACATAATAACTTCAGTGTTCTTTAACTTTTATAGTAGTAAATTTGCTGTGGTTTGTACATCTTCAAAGTATATCCAGAACTTGACCACTTCTTATCTCAATCACTGTCACTTTGGGCCTATCTACCATCATCTCTTGCTTATAACAGCATCCTAAATATTGCTGCATTTTGGAATCACCTGAAAACTTTTAAAAACACTGATGTCTGGCTCCCATCGGCAGTCATTCTGATTTAATTGGAATGGGTTGCAACCTGGGCATCAGGATTTTTTTTAAGTTTCTGGTGCGTCTAATATGCACTGCCCCAAATAATCAGCAAATCCATAGACTTTTCCTAAAGTAGACCCTTTATTTTTATTCTTATTTCTTTTAAATAGTCCCTTTATTTTTACTATAGTTTTCTGCTAGTAGCCATGTTCATTTAATTTGGAACATTTCTATTTCTTCAAGTTAGTTAAGTCCGAAGTGTATCCATTAGGCATCTTAGTTGTGAGCAATGAGAGCTAACTCTGGCTGGTTTAAGCAGAAATGACATTTACTGATAGAATATTGAGCGGCTCACAGAATTTGTAGAAGGCTGGATGGAGCCAGCCTTAGGAAAAGTACAGGAACAGAGAGAGGCTAAACAGCTAGACCCACAGCACAGCTCGTGCCAGTGACACAGTCCTGCTGTCTGCTGAACAGTAACTGGGGGCATGAAATTGCACTACTGGTTGTGCTGGTCACTTCCTGCCACCAATCATTCTGCTGCTGTCACTGCCCTTGGAAAGGACATGTTGCCTCCACTGTGCCTGTCATCACAAAGAATTCTTTCTCTTGTCTTTGCTTTTCTGTGCCACTAGCCTCCATATTCAAATTCCCTGGGAGGTATGTATTTGGATAAGCGTAGGCTTCCAGGGCATGTGGGAAAGCAAGTATGTCTCTGGCATTTTCAATTTTTAGTAGTGGAAGATTGGCTCTGTCTTGCATCAGAACTCATGAGGTTGGAAATTCTCCAAACACAAGCAAGGGCTTCACATGGTTGGAAGCCAACAAAATGACAGAGGTGTACTCCACATAGCATAGCCAACAATGTGTTATTTATTTTATGTATTAATTCACTGGTACTCAAACTAAGAACCCATAAGGACACTGGTGTTTTTCCACAATTATTTTTAAACATTTAGAGCCTGGTCCCTTAGCAAACAGTAAGAGATACCAAAATAAATGAGCAAGTAGCAAGCAAACTAATAGGGAAACTTGGACATATTACTTATAAGTATTTATGTATTATTTTTGGAGGTGTGGAGACCAGTATAAATATAAAATAGGTATATTTATTGATAGTGAAAATGTTCTGAGTTTCTATGATGGAAGTTATCAGTATTATATGGTGACATTGTCTAATAGAAATATAGTGTGGGACACAAATGTAATCCATAAATGTAATTTTAAATTGCATTAAAAAAGTAAAAAGAAACAGACATTTAATTTTAATAATGTATATTATTTAATCTGGTATGTTCAAAATAGCACTTCAACATTTATTCAATATAAATATTTAAGGGCTAGTTTACTTTTTTTTCATGCTATGTCTTCAAAGTCTAGTGTGTATTTTAAATTTAGAGTACAGTTCAATTCAGACTAGTCACATATAAAGCGCTTAATAGCAACATGTAGTCAGTGGCTACCATATTAAACAGCAGTTTTGTGGCATTGTATAAAATGCTGTGTGGCTTCCAAGTACTGCCAGCTAACTATACTTATAATGAAGTATTTTAGACACCTTATGAAAACCGAATGGGTGTTTAAATAATGTAACCTAAAAGTAATAACAAGTGCTTGATTATCCATTCTCTTCTAATCCAAAACAGTTTTACATGATTTTGCAGTGTTTTACTTTTTTGTTTTGTTTTATGGTGGGAATGGGGATGTGAAATGGGGAAGAGAAACCTAATTTTTTTCATTAGACTTTGTTTTTGTTTATTATTTTTTATTTTCTGAACATTTAAATTTGTGAGGGTTTGGAGTATTCTAGATGCACCTTAAGGCAGAGAAAGGCAACATGCTCTAGTGCAGAGCTTGCATGTGAATAATTAAATTCATCATATTTTATTAGATTTATTGTATATGTCCTGACTAGACTTGAGGATCTGAAGTTTTGAAAATAAAAACGATAACAGTGACTGACTCTGTGCTTGAGATTTTATCTATCATATATGACTTCTTTACCCTAAATAATTCATGTTGATAATAAGTCTTGTATTCTAATTATTTTTATTCTTGCAGGCTGCTGAATCAGGAATAATTAAAGTTAAAACAATAGCTGCACGAAACACCGAAATTTTGGCAGGTAATTTTTTGCATTAAAAATTCAACAATTAATGAAAATTTGACTTAATAGAAGTAGAATCTTAAGGAAAAAAAAAAAGCAACATAATTTTCTGTAGCATAAAGTCCCTAACTTATGAACAAACTGGGTTTCCAGAGATGAATGCTATAAAATTCTCTGAAATCAAAAAGCATAAAACTACTAACTCCTGAAAGGCAAGGATTTTTCTTACTCATCTTTGCATTCTCTTCCACCTTTTGCCAATCACCTAAGACACACTTTACCCATAATAGGCATTCAGTTAATATTTGTTGTGTTGAATTGAATGGAAGAATGGTTCTCAGTCTACCGTCCATAATCTATTTTATCTTTAATATAATACAAACAAGTTATGTAGTTTTATAAATTTAGTGGTATCATATGTGTTTTGAGTCCTGGGGCTCACACAATATGGCCATGAAGAAAGAATGGGAATGGGGTGGAGAAAAGAAAACAAGTGTTTTCTTACATTCTCTTGATTGAACCTGGTTTTTGAGGACAAATTTTTAAGAGTTTCTCTTTGGCACCATTTTGATAATCAGCCTACTTCTTCCTTTTCTTTGGTGTCTTTGTGTTCTTGCCTCAATAATGAACATGGAAAGAAGAAAACTGGCATTTTTTGAGAACTTGTTACATGTTAGGCATTTATTCCACTCTATTTTATTAAGACAGTGTGGGGAACTATTATTCTTATTTTATAGTAGAGCAAGTTGAGATGCAAAGAGATGAAGTTACTTGCCTAAGGTCATGTGATATAAGTGGTGGAACTGGATTCAAATCTAGGGCTGTTCAGAGCCTATGTTCTTCCTCCTGCAGTGTGCTGCCATGGTATTGCGAGGCGAGGCATCAATACCAGCTGCTCTCTCCCCAGTGTTTATACCTAACCATTGCTCACTTCTCTGGTCCTTCAATCTGCATTTCCAGTTCCAGTAGTGCTATTGGTCTCAGCTAGTTAGAGGACAAAAGCAGCCCTATTAAATTCATTTACATAAGGTCCAAACACTAGTAAAGAATCTCTTGAACTCTCATAAATCTCTTATATTTTTAAAAAAGGATACCAATAAACCCTACCTGGTGGAATTTCAGAGTATTACAAAATAAAATGAAGACTTTGGGGAGCAGTTTAAGGGTGAGAGAGGAGAGTGGGTTTCACTTATGCTTGCCAGCTTTGCTGAAAATTTGCCCTCAGGGTTAGCTCTCCTAAGTTACATCTGTTTCTCACATCTCTGATTTTCAATATTCTGTCAAAACACCAAATAGCTTTATAACATTATTCACATCACTGAATAATGCTCTGTGTGCATGTTGAGAACGGGTAAGCAAAAGTGATGTTACCAGTAAGGGGATAGGTATGTAGAACTGGATTGGGAGGGTGGGCACGTGGGTTATGGAAATGCACGTTAGGTGGATTAGTTACTATAAGGAAGTTAATGTTTAAAGATAAATTATGACCTAGATGTTTTTTAAGTTGGAAACATCATCAGCCAATCATATTAGAATATCACTGCAAATATTTACTTTTGCTACTGTAATTGCCAACATCATGGTAAGTCCCTAATTATTCTCCAATGATAGGAATTTTCTCTGAGTCTGGAGTTGATGGAAGATATTTTTCAAAGACTGATTTCTTCAGAGGATCACTGTTCAGAGTTGTACACCAAGTAAAATGTCTAATTAGTTAATCTTAAGGATGAGTAAGAAAAATTTTGTCTCAGTCAGTATGAATTTAATATATGGGTGGGCTGTTAATTTCTTTTTTATTCAATTAGCTTTATTCAGGTCAAGGTAGAACAAATCTTTATGCACACACAGTTGTGCATGCTTTAATATCCATAGTATCCAAAGCCATGTATTCAGAAGTTATATCAGCATTTAAACTTTATCCTGGTATTTTTTGCTAATTATTTATAACTATTGTTACCTCAAAATTTATGGATTTTAGACCATTGTCATCTTGAAAATCAAAGGCTCTGAACAACAAAGAGAGTTTAAATTTGTCAGTATATAGTTTCTAAACTACTTAAATAATGCAAAGTGCAATTCAGAATACATTTAATACTGAGAAAAATATTTAGTTGACTTTTTTTTATTTTCTCAGAAGTATTTACTTCTCTATAGTGCTAGAGACTGTAGGTTATTATTTTTGTAATGGGTGTTAAATATATGATACAATTGAGGAGTCTCAAATGAGATGAGAATTTGAATCCTCAGATATCCGGCATATTCAGAAAATATAGAGGATTGCTATAAAAATCGGAATCCTTAATTAGGTTATTATTTTTGTAATGGGTGTTAAATATATGATACAATTGAGGAGTCTCAAATGAGATGAGAATTTGAATCCTCAGATATCCGGCATATTCAGAAAATATAGAGGATTGCTATAAAAATCGGAATCCTTAATTAGGATCAGTCTGATCAATGATACTCAGCATAAATTTCTAGCCAATTGTAGTTTTCCTAGACTTATTTTCCAAAGGAAGGTTATTTACATTGCAAAATAAATCTTTGCTTTACATCTCCCCTTCTTTTAAGCATCCTCCTTTAATGTTTATTTTTCTTTGTTTTCACTGCTGTCATGAATGCTGACATAAGTGGGAATGCTATGCCAGGTAATGTCAGCATTGATTCAAATATACAGATCATTATCTCAAAATTTCCTTTTTCTTTAAAGATAAAGCTCTGTGAATGAGAGATAACAACATAAAGTTTTTCATTTGTAAGGCCAAATGCCTTAATCTTACATTTGACTACTGTATAGTACAAATTGTTTTTATAATCCAAGCTTACAACATACTTGAAATTAACTGAGAAGACTTGTGTCATACAAAAATTACATAAACAGAGAATCTGCTTTTTTGAATAAATATTTGAAACAAGGAAATCAATGAGGTTGTGATATCTTTTAAAATTGTATATTTACACCATACTCAAAGCCATAATAATTACTTCTACTTATGGCTGCTTTTAGCTACTGTCAGTATACATATAGAAATTTTTCATAGGTAATCATTATGTATGATTTATGTTCTTCTTTTATCACACAGTTTCCCTCACCTTTTTCATGTCTACATGGTCTTATTACTGAAAGGTCTCTAAGTAATTTGAGTATATACTTTGGAATTTTTTCTGACATTAAAAGGTAAATTATTGGCTGACTTTAATTAGAATATTCTATCTTATCAATACATATACTTGTGATATTTTATAAATAGATAGAATATATCATACAACATATTCTTAGTAAGGGAGTAATGATGTACGATTCACCAGGGGAGATACAAAGATGGTTAATGTAATTCACCTACAATCTATATGGAAATACAAGAAATATACTTGAACAGTTTGTGCCATTCATGCTATTTAGCTTACCTGCTTTTTGAAGTCCTTTGCCAGAAATGTTCCCTTCCTGACAACGTACTTCCTTGAGGTCAGGATCAATATCTTATTCTTCTTTATGTTACTAATCGTTAGTACATTACATGTGAAGTATAATAGTGTACCCTCATTGAATGTTGGCTACTACATCAGTCACTCCAAAAAAGCAAATAAATCTCTTAGTGCTGCCTCTAGTATGCTTCTCTACCTCTCTTTAATTTTACATGTTATGATTAGTTCATGTCAGCCAGATAACAGATGAGACAGACCCTAAACAGAGAATTTTAATACTATGTGGTAAATGCCGAGAAGAAAGTATAGACAAGCTTGTTATGAGAGCATAGGGAAGGCATCTAACAGGCAAATGACTTCTCATTTTAACTGGCATATCTTTTTAATGTTGAACAGTTTTCTCTGAATATATTTTTTACTTTACATTTATTTCTTTGAGTTTTTGTGTCTTCCTTATCACATTGTTTGAGCTGTTTACGTAGCAAAAACTTCCATCGTGTATATATATCACATTTTCTACAAGCCATTTACCTTTTAATTTTTCATCTTGATGCTTTTTATTTTTACGTAGTTTAAATTTTCTGGTTTTTTCCACTCCACTTAGGAAGTGCTTCTCTTTCCACATAATTGATAGTCATTTTTTATTTTCTGACAGTTTTTCCATGGTTTAATTTTTTCTTAATATATGGGATGATGCTGGTTCTTAGATTTTATTTTATTTTGTAAAATTACTAGCCAATTGTACCAACATCATTGTTGAATAATTCTTCTTTATCCTAATCCTTTAATATGAAATTGCCCATACTTTTATTTGTCCTTCAGTTCTCGAATTATTTAAATCATTTTTAGATCTTTTGAACCATTAAAAAATTTTAAAATATTGTTAGGAGTATCAGTTTTTCCCATAAGTAGATTTTAAGGGTTTTGAGGATAACAATTGTGTCTACATCACATTTTATTTTTTTCACAAGAATTATAATTTGTTATTTAATGACCATTAAAATTTATCATGATACAACTTTTATTAACCCCTAAGAATGTGATTCATAGTGGGGTATCCTAGTTTAATTCTTTTTTTCCAGGATAAAAACTGCAATCATGCAGTGAAACTGCTCAGAGCAAGGAAACCCCTGGGATATGGGGACCTGCTGGACCTTGTTCAGGTGTGTGGCAGTGCGTTGTTCGACCTCACGGTTACAAATTTGGAAGTGACATCTATTTAACAAACACAGTGTTTTCTATTAAAGGAATTATGTTTATTAAGGGACTTCGATAGAAAATAAACTTTTACTTTTGTTTTTTTACCCACAAAGCTGTCTTTATATTTTAATGGAAATTTAAGTAGAAAATTTTGATTAAGAGTTGACCTTTTCTTCTTTTTTTCCTGGAATGATAAAAAAAAAAGTATGTTTTTATATTGTTGTACAGCCTTTTCTTTTCTTCAGTGTAATTTTGAGAATCTAAACCCATAAGGAGGTTTTTATATAACCTATGCTTAAAAGCATGTCATTAAAATTACTGTATATAAAAGGAGAGCAGTTATCTCTCAAACAGAAGAGCAAGATAAATTTCTGCTTCCTAGAACAACTATCACTTTTAAAAGAAGGAAAAAAAATCAGTAACTTTTTTTCCCCTGTGATCTTTATCTTACTGCACTATGATCTGGATATGGCGGATACGTTTTTGTTTTTCACACTATGTTTCAAAAGACAGAACAGATTAATAAATAGTTAATAAAATTTAAAAAATTTTTTTATTGACCATCTATTCTGGATAACAAAGAAACTTCCTTTTTGGCCATTATATTCTCATATAAAGTGGGAGAAAAAAAGTGAAAAGGAGATGAGCGATAGATGTTTGATTCCTTTGAGTTACATTAAAATGAAGTTTTTAAAAATTATTTTTATTGCTACGTTAAGTTTATCTCAGTTTGATAGACCTGGATAACTGTGACTGACATGTATATAACATTTCACTATAACTCTCCCTATTTTATTCTTTCTAAGATGCGTAGTTTTTTCACATTTTAACATTCCCCAAATAGGAATTCATCTGATACTGGATGACATCTTAGAATCCTGTGGGCCAGGTAGTTGTAGTTAGTTGTCTTTTTCAGTGCATGTATGAACTTTTTCATATTTGTTCATATTATTATCCCATCAGTAGAGTTACATGCATTGTTGATATCACGTAAGTTTAAGTGCAATTTAAAATGTCACCTTAGTTGTTGTGCAGAATCCATTAGCATCTCATGGTAAGCTCAAAAAAGCACCAACATCAAAACATGCAGAATGGGTTTCATTGCTTTAGAAGATCTCAGAGACAAAGGTGAAATACTCTCACACGAAATGAGGTACCTCCAATGCTCTTGAAGGCTTAGAGTATGAAATTGTGAGGAAAAATTTCAAGTAATTAGTGAACATTGTATCATAGTTTAATTGGCACTGATTTTCTTTCTGTGTGATATTATGGGCGTGTCTTAAAAATCATTGTCATCAGAGACTATGAAAGCACATTGTGTTTCCTTCTGTGAAGACATGATCCCTTTCCTTCATTTATCTGAAGACTTCAGGCAGACTTTAAAGTGCAGATCATTGCTTCCTCTGAAATACTTTTAACCCTTTTTACTTCTGTTTGTATCATGCTGTGTATTTTAAAAAGTTGTGGGAAGAATAGTGAATCAGATTTGAAGACATACCGGGGGTGCCAAAAAAAAAGTATACGCATTTAAAGAGATGCTATCTTAAAATGTGTATGCATTTTTTTGTATTTCCAAATTCTGTCTGCACCACCTACTTGTCACTTGGGCCAAATCATGCCCTATAAACTCTATATGATTACTATGATACTCAAATGAGAAGTGCATGTTAACATCATAAAAATTATAAATGCAACTCGTTACTATTGAAATCTTTTATTTACCTGAACAACATTTAACAATTACAAACGCCCAGCAGGGTTAGGGGTAGCCCACATTCTGGCAGTATTGAATATTGCAGGATATTTACTACTTGAGAATAGTATTTTTAGAGCTTTAGTATCATCTTTTAGTCATTCATATAAATGTTTTGAAACATTGCTATAGAAAATTTATGTCTCTGGCTTTGAATCAAAACCTTTATGCACGAGAAAGCAAGGAAATAAGGCAAGGGAGCCCTTTGGGAATCTGTTCTTTGCCATCTCTTAGCTGTGCTAACTCACTAATTTATGCTGATGTACTGAGGGACTTTGCAGAGCATGCTGTAGAAAGTTGTAGTCTTTATTTGCCATACCGTAAAGGGAACTTTGGGAGCAGGAAGGTGGAGATTTAAATGATAAAATTAATGTTAACATTGGTTTTATACTTTTAATGGTGATTCTGGATACCTTTCTCACAATCTCTTTTGAAAAACATGTTGAAACTCAGATTTGTATGTCTTTATTATAAATCTTAACCGCAAAAAATAGTTGATGGACATAGTACGTACCTTTAAAGCATATACCAAACGCGTAAGTTTAATGCGCTCTTGGTTCAGAATTCCATGTTTTTATTAAATTCCTCAAGGATGACAAGCCAGTTTTATTCTTATTCATCTTTGTATAGGCGTTCAGTATGTATTGACTTAATTTCATTTTGTCATATACAATTCAGTTTGTGCATTTTCTAACCTTTTACATTTTTTTGCCACTTTAAAACTTCTGAAAGAATTGGTTTCGTAAAAGGAGTTAAATTAAAATTTAGAATTACAGCATGTACATCCAATTAATTTAAAGCAAAGCTTCAGTAATGAAAGGAGTAATGTTTTTAATGAGTTTATTTCTTGAAGAAGAAATTATGGCTATGTAAATTCAGAGCATATAAATAAACTTATAGGGAGTTTCTGAACATTCAGAAGCATGGTGGGGATGATGTGTATACTATTTTAAATTACTTTTTCTGCTCTAGAGTATGAATTTTTATTCATGTTTTTTCTTCAGCACTACTGAAGAAATAGCATGCTTCTCTGAGGCAGGATAGAACTTCTGAGAGGTTGACCTTAAAGAGTTTATAGTAGAAGAAGGAGAAGAACCAAAGGACAGCATGTCAGGAAACAGGCATGGCAAAGCTGTAGTGAAGGGACAGTTTAGATACAGAGCCTATAGCATTTATTTGAAGTATTTTAACTCTTATACTTGATTTTAATTTGGAGTTTATTTTACATAAAGTGGTTTTAATTAAATTGTCATTACTGGTTCTAATTATATAAAAATGTGTTGCTGTTTATGAATTAGATTTGATAATTTATTTTATATGTTTTCTAAACAAAGCATTGAAAGAGAACAGCTCGGAAGTTGTCCAGCCTTTTCTCATGGGTTGTGGAACCAAGGAGCCGAAGATCACTCAGCTATGTTTGGCCGCCATTCAGAGACTCATGTCACATGAAGTTGTGTCTGAGGTAATGTGAAGATTTTATCTGAACTGGGCACCTTAGAATCAAATCAGGAATTTTCATAAGGGGAGAATGAAACATACCTGATGTTTAATGTAAAAGTTTTATGAATAGCAATGTCCTTGAAGGACATGGATTAATTTTAAAAGATTAACAAATTTTATCATTATTAAACACTCATAAGTAAAGAATGAAATGAAGCGCATTTTGTCAAGTCATTTATAATTTAAGTAGTCATGGTTCAGTAATATAACAATTTTGAGAACCCAGCAAACATTCAATATCACTGAAGAGAATATAAATCATAAATATTTTTTAAAAAGTAGGAGGGAAAAATCATGACTGTTTCCTAGATTATCTGAAGTGATAATTTGTTGTTCATTAACTTGAGTATATTGTTCATATCTAATCTTACAATATTAAAACAAGGAAAAACATTTCACCACTATGAATCTGCACCCTTGTATCAAATGTAATGGTGTTAACCTTAACGTTGTACTCCATAAGCTGCTTTAATAGAAGTGGTAAATTCTTCTGCCTTTAGTATAGCATTCTAAACAAGTCAGACTTGAGTTTATAGATATGTTGTTAATTTAAGTTGCATTTTGGTTTTTCTATAACATATTGTAGATGGAATAATATATAAGAAACAGCAGACTCATAGTTTACATATGTCCATATTCATCAGTGTCCAGATGAAAGGTACCCATATTATTGTAGACATGAGCTTTAATTTTAACTAGGTATTTCAGAACTATATGCTGCTATTTGCAAATACTCAAATGGTATATTATATTTTAAAGAAATTAATTTTTTTGAGAAGAAAATTAATTAGTTGTAAGTCTCAAATTGGTTGAGAGACATGTGTTTAAATCTGTATATCTAGAAACATGGGTCTTATTGTGATCAAGAAATTTTCCCCAGGTAAGGTAATAGTTGTATACTGTTTCTTATTTAGGAACTTAAACACTTATATTTTATTTGTTGACAATAATTAAAATAATTATTTTACAGACTGCAGCTGGAAATATAATTAACATGCTTTGGCAGCTAATGGAAAATAGTCTTGAAGAACTTAAGCTACTTCAAACAGTTCTTGTTCTTTTAACAACCAATACAGTAGTTCATGACGAGGCACTCTCCAAGGTAGGAAACCTGTTTGGCAAAGTTCGTAAGTGCTTTGAGACAGTATTTGAATAAGCTGGCTGAAAGAGAAAAGCCTGGTACTGTTAGAACCTAAAGCAACTTCCTTGTAGCTATTGTGATAATGGACCTTGCATGGTGCCTTGTTTTTCCTAGATTAGAGTTGAAATCAGGTTAGGGTGATTAACCAAAGCTCTTTGGGAATACTGACAGTCTTAGTTATGAATAGGAAAGGGGAAAAGACGAGTAGCAGAGGAATAAAAATAGGGGAGGAGGAGAGTGAGAGAAAAATGTATTTTGAGGTGTCAGTGTTCTCCACAGTTGCCTTGGGTATTCCCTCTCGTAGCTCTCCATTATCCGCTTCTAAAAATAATCTCACATGTTTATGATACGTAAGCCAGATAGTTTAATTTAAAACTGTCCCTTATGTAGCTGGAAAAGTGTCCTTTTCGCATTTATACTATAAAGCTGCATGTATGATACCAATTTCTTATTTCTAACTACTCCCACTCTCTTTGGACTATATAACAGTTGTTCAATTATTTATTTCACTCTTTAAATTTTTTTTAAAGTTATGATATATTTCTAAAGAACATAAAGTACACAGAGTAATATAAAGAGCAGTCTTTAATTAATGGTTTATTGTTTAATGAATTTGTTGGACTTTTACTAATAGTTCTAATATAATTTGTGTACCTTTATGGATGGATGGCTTATAAAGTAGAAAAGTATACTGTCAGATTAAGCTATGTAAACTATCTCTAGAGAGTATGCTATCTTTGCTACTTATTCCTTTGATGTTCTTAGGTCATAATGAAATTTTACTTAATTGCAAATAGTTTATTCTTTTTAAGCCCTTGCCTGCTTTATAAAATATTTTATTTATTTTTATATATACTTTTGTTGTATATAGTTCCTCTTGGTTTCTAGCTATCAAATTATTGTTCTGATATATATGTATTTAAAATTTTATAAAATATTAACATTTGACCTACCAAAGTAATAAGAACTCATTGTAGTTTTATAAATAAATATAGGATTTATTTTAGCATTTATGTTGGTTAATTTAGAAATATATTTTGGGATAAAAAATGAAGTATAAAGAAATAATGCAAAATTGAGTAATACGAAAGCTTCTATATAGTATGTATCTTTCCTTTATGTTGAAATTTAAAGAGTAGTTGTGGTATCAGAGGCTTGTTTCCTTAAAAACCTGTAATATGATTAATATGATAAGGTACAGAATTTAAATTACCATTATGTTTTTCTTCAAGAATGGCTTCTTTTAAAACTGTAAAACTTCTAGAACACGTAGGAGAAAAATCTACCTTGGGGTAGACAAAGATTTCTTAGGGCACAAAATCCATGAATTATGTATAAAAGGAGCCACAGAATGGGGGAAAATTTTCACAACTATCTGACAAAGGACATTTATCTAGAGTTTATAAAAATCCTTACAACTCATTCATAAAACAAACAACCCAATAAAAAAATGGACAAATGATTTCAACAAACGCTTCACAAAATAAGGTATTCAAATGGCTAATGAATATATGGAAATTGGCTCAGCCTCAGTAGGTATCAGGGAAATGCAAATTAAAACTGCAAGGAGATATCATTACATATCCATTAGAATAGCTAAAATTTTAAAGGACTGACCAAATCAAGTGTTGTTGAGAATGTTGAATAGCTCTGAACTCACACATACTGCTGGCAGGAATATAAAATTGTAAAGCCACTTTGGAAAACTAGCAGTTTCTTTAAAAGTTTAACTTATACTTACCATATGATCCAGCCATTTCACTTCTCAGTATTTATTTACCCAACGTCAGTAAAAACACATGTCCTCACAGAGACTGGTATGTGAATATTCATAGCAGCTTTATTTATAGTAGCCAAAAACTGGAAACAACTTAAGTGTCCATCAGGTGAATGATTAGCAAAATGTGGTAGACCTATACCTTAAATACTACTCTGAAATAAATAAGCACAAAGTACAAGTATTATAAGTGAAAGAAACCAGACACAAAAGAGGGCAAACTGAATGATTCTAATTGTAGAAAATGCCAACTGATCTATAGTGAAAACAGCAGATGAGTGGTTGCCTGGGGCCAAGGATGGAGGAAAAAATGGACTGTAAAAGAACACAAGGATATTTTTAGGGTGATGGAAATTTCTTGTGTCTCAATTGTGGCAGTAGTTTCATGGGTAAATGTAACTGTCAGAACTCATCAAATATAAATTCTAGAAGGAATATAGTTTATTATATATTGCACTTTAATAAAGTTGATTTTTAAAATGACTCCTTTTAAAAATTATATTTTAATTTCTTTATATACTTAGGTTTATATAGTGTTTCTCCAGATGATTTAGTGACATAACAAACTTTGAGTACTTCTTATTTGCAAAGAAGTTATTCCGGAGTAAAAAATCACAGCACATTATTATATACATGCTAAAAGTGCCTAATTGTAAAAGATGTATTTCACATTACCTTACTTAATCTATGTGGCTATATATTTACTGAAAACTTGAATTATTTCAAAATACAAGGGTGTTGGTAGTTTTATTGTATAAAAGGGCAGGACTTTTAGTATCTGTGATCGAGACAGCCAAATGTAAATTATTTAATTTTAAGTTACATCAGATAAAATAAAAATAAAAGTCATGTTCTTCAGTCTTATTTCACACTAAATGAATTTTTCTTTTTTTTAAGGCAATTGTTCTTTGTTTTCGACTACATTTCACAAAAGATAATATTACAAATAATACAGCTGCTGCTACAGTGAGACAAGTTGTTACTGTTGTTTTTGAGAGGATGGTTGCTGAAGATGAACGACACAGAGGTACAGTGATGAAAACTGTTTCCTTTTGACAGTGGGTGGTTATTATATCCATGATTCCTCTTTTATTTTCAACCTCTTTCCTGTGAACTTAGACTATCTAAAAATGAGAATCCTTTGAAAAATATATTTATCAACATTATTATATTGATGACAATTCAAAAAATAAATCCCCCACAATTATATCACCCTAAGAAGTCGACTCTTTATTTTCCATGTATATTTCTAATGTGTGCATAATTTCATATTAAGGATGGTATTTTCACATTTTCTCTCAATATGTATTTTTGGCCAAACATTACATTTATATAAATTTTTTATGTTATTCTTTAATTTTTTGTTAGTTTTTAATTTTTGTAATTTTAATTTTAATGGTTGCATTATATTTTGCTGCTTTTCTATAATTTAATGAACAAGTCTCCTATTGTACCCTTACATTGTGTTCAATATTTTAGTATTGTTTTGAGTGTCTTCCTACATGTACTTTTTCCATTTGAATTACTTTTCTAGTGTAAATTCCCAAGAGTGGGCTTCCCTCATGTAAATTTTTGCCTGTGCTTATTAACATGTGTTAATAAAGAATATTTATGTAATGTAAAGATTAATCTTTTCCTCTACCTTTATTGTGATTTCTAACATCCGTTTTTGTGATTTTAAAATTTTCCTAAAAACTTAGAAACATGTCCTTTCAGAGAGCTGGCAGATACTGTTGGTTATAATTTTTATAATTTGATAACTTTATAGAAATTTTTTTTTCATTCATTATTATTGGATGAAAAGTAAATTTTTTTTTCATTGTTAGTTGAAAAGATCATAAGGTGCTACCATCATGAGCAACTTTTTCTGCTTTATATAGCTGAGAAACAAAACAAAAGATTAAATTATCTTTCCCTTATATGGTTTTTTTCCCCTTAAACTCTTAATATATATAGTCTTTCATTTATTTGATGTTCTTTTGGTAACACTGGTAAAAATGGCAATGCTAGTAAGAAATGATAGCACTGCCTACTCTAATAATTACCTGAGAGACTGGGTAAATCAAATGACTGGATAAAGATACTAAACTTATTAAAATGAAAGTAAGACAGCGAACTGTGATTTTTATGGCATTTTGTATGAAAATAGATTCCCAATTTTTTTTTCATTTTGGAGTCATAGTTCTAAACTTATAATTAAAGTTTATAATTCTATAAGTAACTATTTATTTTAAACATACCTTTTAAATAGTATGCGGTATTTGATTTACTAAAGGTCATTATGAACTCCTAAAACCCATCTTACTTTGATTGCAGATATTATAGAACAACCAGTACTGGTCCAAGCAAATAGTAACCGAAGATCTGTCAGTACCCTTAAACCCTGTGCTAAAGATGCATATATGCTTTTCCAGGTATTTCAGTTGATGTAAATAATTTTTATTGTAAAATATAATTTTGTGTAAATTTTTTATTTTAGAAGTTTGTATGTATGATTTAATTTTTTTAAAGTGTCAATTTTTTAAATTGTCAAACTTGAAAGCATTAAAAGTAGCATTTCAAAAAAGTTCTAAAACATTGAAGAGCATCTATAGCTAATTAACATGAGACATAAAATGTTATGTTTCACTTTAAGGAAATAAAATGAATTAAACCCAGAACTAGAAAATAGGGAAATTAGGGATGAGTAGTCATATAAAATAATTTAACAGAAAAATTTAAGTAATAAACCTCTGATCTACTTAATATAATTTGGTATACAAACACCTGATTTTTATATTACTTGTCATGAATAAATCTTTCAAGTAAAATAAAATTCATCTGTACTGAATGTTTTATTAATTTTGATAAAAAAGTTTTAAGTAGGTTTTCATTAAAAAAAGTTAGCTTAACCATTTATCTGTGCACTCTATTGTAAATAATTATGTGATTCATTAAAAGTTTACTTATATAATCAAGTATACAATTTGTCAAAATTTGAAGTACCAGTGCTTAGTTTCTAAGGGGTATAAACAACTACTGTTTAAGAAGAGATAATTTTAAAACATTTTATGAACCATTAATTTTGAAAAACATCTTTCATTCCAGTATGTGAATGTTTTATCTATTTTTTAATTATTGTTTGACTTATTTTTACAGGACCTTTGTCAGTTGGTTAATGCTGATGCCCCTTATTGGCTAGTAGGAATGACAGAAATGACTCGAACATTTGGCCTCGAATTACTTGAGTCAGTCTTGAATGATTTTCCACAAGTCTTTTTACAAGTAAGCCATTAGTAGTATCTTGCAACAAAGTTAATCTTTAATTTTTTCACAGATATTTTTCAAGAAAGCAACATGTATTTTTCCCACATTAAAATATGCAAAGAATTATATCCTTAGATTTGATATATAATAATTTTGTGTTACCTTACATTTTTGTAGTGCCCTCGCATCTTGAAATTTTAACATTAGAAGGAATCTCTAAAGACCATCTAGTGAGGCATTTCTCAATCAAAGGGTGTATGAAGGAATGTGATATGTGAGCTATTTTTGTAATATTTAAAACCAAAAGAAATTGTTATTGATTTTTACTTGATTACATGTAGCTATGTGCTTGTAGATAATTTTAATGGAAAAAAGAACTAGTCAATGCTTAATAAATTTAATGTACAATAAAAATAATTCAAAACAGAAAGCTAATAGAACAGTAAGAAAGAATTCAAACTTTTCATTTTACTTCTTAGAAGCTAAAGTCCAAAATTGATTCAGTGATTTACATAGGGTTCCTAGCAGATCTTAACTAAAATTTAGGTCTTTTAACTACTAATCTAGTTATGATGCCCTGCCATGCTGCTTCTCTAAGTCTTCTGTTTTGTCCTTTGCTCTTACCTACAAAATGTGTGAACCAAGTGCCAGAATAGTACAAGATCCTTTAGCCCAGCAGTTGGGACTGGAATTTTTATTACATGGTTCAAATTTTTGGTATATATTCTGCAAATTTTCAATGCTTTTGGTGATAGTGACCAATATTAACTTATGATTCTCTTTCTTGTACTAGAATAAGTAGTGTTTAGCTATAACTTATCTAACAATCTTGTATGAAATGATAGCCATACAGCTACCACTTTTTGATTGCTTACTCATGCTATAACTGTGCAAAATTCCTTACATATTACATCCATTATTACATTCTTTTTAATCTCTTTATAAATGCCTGAGAAGTACCAGTTATTCCTACTTTACACAGGAAGAAGCTGAGGCTTTCAGAGAGTTAAGTAATTTGTCTAAAGTTTTATGGTTTGTAAGTGATGAAGTTGGGATTTCAACCCATTTTTATACAGATTCCAAATTAGTTTCTCTTCTTACCCCCTCTTTTTTATTCACACCCATATCCCAACCATTACCTTCAAAATATATACAGGATCTAGTCACTTCATATGACTTTTACCACAGTCTTCCAAATCTAAGCCACCATTACCTCTTACCTCAGTTACAGCATTAGTTTCTCAATTGGTCTCTCTGCATCTACACCTGCTCTATTCTGTTAATGGTTGCTTCTCACACCATGCCCAGAATGGTCTTTTTTTTTTTTTTTTTAAGGCTTTTTTATTGGGGATCTGGAGAAGGGAACAGTGTTGGGGAATTGGGAAAGGGGAACATTGTGTTTTTCCAGGACCCACAAGCTCCAAGTCAAGTTGTTGTCCTTCAGTCTTAGCCATGGAGGGCACAAGCTCAGCTTCAAGTCCAGTAGCTGCCGTGAATCTTAGTTGCGGGGGCATGTAGTTAACCATCCCATGCGGGAATCGAACCAGCAACCTTGTTGCACACTGAGCCATCCGGCCCAGCTCGCTACTGCTCAGCTCAAGGTGCCATGTTAAATCTTAGTTGCGGGTGGGCACAGCTCACCATCCCATGAGGGGGTCAAACTGTCAAGAGCATGTGCTCTCACCAACTCAGCAGCAGCTCAGCTCGGGCGCAGCTCACTGGCCCATGTGGGAATCGAACCGGCGACCCTGTTGCTCAGAGCTCACGCTCTTAGCCAACTGAGCCACTCGGCTGGCCCCAGAATGGTCTTTAAAAACAAGTCAGATCTTTTCAGTCTTTTGTAAAAGTGTTTTAGTAGATGACCTTTTTGCCCAGAGTAAAAAATGAAGTCCTAATTATGATCTATGGAACTTTTTATAATCTAGTCCCCAATATTCCTTTGTCTTATGTCCTTTCACTCTTCTTCTTGCCATTACTTTTTAGCCACATTGTCAGTCTTGCTGTTCCTTAAATGACCCAAGTAGATTCCTGCTTCAGGGCTTTTGTAGTTACTGTTTCCTGGGTTTGCTTTTCTCTCTTGTAGATTGTTCTCATTCTTTGGAGGTCTCTGAAGGATGAAGTGTATAGTTAGTTGGCTGAAATAGGTAGAATAGGAAAAGAATATTCCAGAGCAGTGACCCTGAGAAAGGATCTGTCACTAGAAAATAAGCTCTATAAGGGCAGGGATAAAATTCAGCTTAACCCTGAATGCCTTTCCCTAGCAGAGTGCCTGGTACATGTTAAGCAGTCAGCAAGTAATCGCTGAATAAGTCAATAAAATGTAGTAGATGAGGAAAAAAGGCAGTCTTTTGCCTTCTTCAAAATAAAATCAGCAAGTTATACAACTTTTTATACTTTATGAATCAAAGATGACTTCTAGCTTTCTGGCTTGAGCAGTGAACTGCTTGCTTAGATGAAATACACTATGGGCAGAATTTTTATCACAAACGATAGATTATTTAGCTTTGAACACACTTAGATACCTCAAAATGAGAGACCACAAAATGTTAGTTGAATTTTATACATCTTGAGCTCAGAAGTAAAGTTTTGGCCTGAAGTTATAATTTTAAACGTCACTGATTTATGGTTGTTATTGAAGATATGGCAGTAAATAAGATTTAACTGTGGTGATAGCATAGACTAGGAAGTAAGGACCTGGTACTCTGGAGCTCTGAGGAATCTCAACATTAAATGGTTGGGCATAAAAAGATAAGATAATGAAAGAGACTTAACAAGAGGCCAGAAAGGCAGGAATGCATCTGAGAGAGTGTGACATAATAAAAGACAAAAACAAAGAAAGCCTCCAGATAAACCAAGTAGTCAATTAGGTCCAGTGCTTCTAAGAGACCTGGTAAGATGAATGAAGACTGAAAAGGCAGTGTTTGCTTTAGCCACAAGAGATCATGATGAATATAATGAGAAGAGTTTGAGTTGAATTGAGGTGGTTCCTGGTGATTGTGGAGGAAATCCAATTGTAATCAGTTGAGTACTGAGGGGGAAAAGTGAATAGATAAAACTTTTAAGAGATGTCTGTAATATTCATAAATTAACCGATACATAAAATTATTTAGTGAAGTATGAAAATGAACTTAACTGCGCCTTTAATTTTGGCAGTCAAACTAACTGTAGATATGAGAGTAGAATTTCAAATCACTAAACTCTTAACATCCCATTTTGGGGGGAAAGAATTAAAAAATACATTAAAATGAATATAAAAGTCTGGAAGGATATAATTTGGAATTAACAATGACTAATTTATTTCCAGGAGGTGAGATTATGCAAGACTTTTATTTTTATCTTTTTACTTACTTGCATTTTTTTCTCTAATGAATCTCATTTTTTCCCCTCTAATTGTTTTTCTTGAATGACTGATTTTTTTAAAGATACATTTAAAAATTGTTGTGAATCTTAGCATGTAAACTCTTATGTGCCTTATTTTTTTCTTTTTTTGTGAGATTAAAGTATTAATCTGGATAATTTTTGTGATTCTGTCTTTGTTCTCAGCCTCTATGAAATTTGGATGACTGAAATAACAATAAATATATGTTTGAGGTTAGACATTAAAAGTCTAAAACTGGGCCTTATTTATCAGTAAAATGGGACTACTATGGCTCATTTAGGCAGGGAATTAACAGATTAAAGGAGCATAATATGCTATGAGGTTAAAAATTATTTGCAAGGTTTCCCAGACTCTAGAAAATCTATGCTGGGGCAACCAGTTAGCTGAGTTGGTTAGAGCTCAGTGCTCATTAACACCAAGGGTGCCAGTTAGATCCCCACATGGGCCACGGAGCTGCGCCCTCCACAACTGGATTGAAACAACTACCTGACTTGGAGCTGATGTGTCCTGGAAAAACACACTGTTCCCAATAAAAAAAGATTTAAAAAAAAATTATGCTTGTTTGTTATTGTGGGTTTTTTAATTAGCTGGTTGTGTTCTGTTTAAGTAGCCTAAGTAGGACAAACTATTATGTTAATTAATAAATCCATTAATGGAATTGTTATCTTTGCAGAAAAGGATCAGTAAATTGTATCTTATTATACTTTATTAATCAAGTTTTCTCTCCTCAGCTGCCTATTTTAAATACTTTATCTGTTTGAATTTATGTAATCTATTTTCTTCTATTCTTTGTTTTTAATTGTTAGTGTCCTACTAAAATTAAAATTCCTAGCAATAAGCATCACTTAATTCCAAAATTATTAAATATTCCTTTTTAATTTAGATTCTCTTTAAAATTTATTGAAATATTGATTAGACTTTAAGCTTACACTCTCAAAGAGCAGTGCTAATTTCAGAATTGTGTGTGAATGGTAAAATAATAAACTACATAAACTTATCATTAAGCTAAATCATTTATACTGATTATTAAGAAGTTTTATTTACTACGGAGACTGTTTTAGAAGCATTAAGTACAAGCTAAGTTAATTCGTTTTTTTCTGCTTGCTTTTATTTTTGCAAATAGCACCAGGAATTTAGCTTCCTCCTTAAAGAAAGAGTATGTCCTCTTGTGATAAAGCTCTTTTCTCCAAATATAAAGTTCAGACAAGGTTCCAGCACTTCATCTTCTCCAGCACCAGTTGAAAAACCGTACTTTCCTATCTGCATGCGTTTGCTGAGAGTAGTATCTGTTCTGATTAAGCAATTTTACAGTCTTTTGGTAAGTGCAAATTTTCATATGTATTTGTGTGTGTAATCGCAGGCAGTACTTTTTAGAAGATGATGTATTATAGTGTATTTAGCTTTTTCACTTCAGTTAATAAGACTTTCTTTTTATGTGTACCTATCGGTATTCTCCTAGATACTCTAAAGGTTCATTCTGTGCTCTCTTGAATCTTTTTTATGTTTATATAGTATTTTTAATGTATGTTTAGGAGAGTCACAGCCTGTTATCTGAAGGCAGCATAGGATCTGTGGCTTTGGAATTTAGTTTCTTAGCTAACTATAATTTGATGAAAATTAAAATTATAGTGTCTTCAGTTTATTCTGTTTTCATTTATCGTCTTTCATTTATATTAACAAATTAAAACAAAAAAGTTAAAGATTTGGTGAATTCTAGGATTAGAAATCAATTTTGACTTCTAGTCCAAAATTGTATCTATTTTGCATAAATTTATGGTTGCAGGATATGTTGTGATACCTTATCAGTGTAATGGCTTACTCTTAAACATTCAAATATTTGTCAAAGAAAATGGTGTCTTATATTTCTTTTTGATCTTATGTTAAGTCAAATTCAGCATTGCATAAATTTTTAGCATATATGTCCTTAATTTTAATTAACAAAAATAATTGGTTTTTGATTACCTACTATGAGCAATCAATGTACTAAATGTTAGAGATAAGCAACATTATAAGCTAAAAGATAGCATAGATAGTTTTCATACTAAATTCTATGGAGAACTTTTTAAAATAAAATTTTTCTGTATTTATGATAATTTGTTATAGATTTTCTTTTTTCTTTTTTTTATAAGATTTTTATTGGGGAATTGGGGGGATGGGAACAGTGCTGGGGAATTGAGGGAAGGGGAACAGACAAGTTGTTGTCGTTTTGTTCTTCAGTCTAGTTGTGGAGGACGTTGTTTCACTGGCCCAAGTTGGCACCATCTTTGCGCTCTTCCCTGGCGAGGCCAATCAGTCGCCAGCTTCTGGACGGCTGCTCACTGCGGCTGCTAGCCGCTCACGCTGGCTGCTGACTACACACGGTAGCCCATGGCAACCCACTGCCACAGGGACTGCAGCCTACACCATCGCCAGCGACTCACAGCAGCCCAGCTCCAGGTTGAGCTGTTGTTCAGCATCTTAGCTATGGAGGGCAGTGTCACTGGCCCTCATATGTGGGATCCGAACTAGGGCCCTCTGGCGTCCCAAGCGAGTTCTTAACCATCGTGCCACTTGGCCGGCCCTAGATTTTCTTTTAATATTCCAAATCCATTTATGCAAAATGCAATTAGAAATAATCTTTATAAACACTTATTATAATTTCTTTTTTTTTTTTAAGATTTTGTTGGGGAATTGAGGGAGGGGTAGAGCGCTGGGGAATCGGGGAAGGAAGACAGACAAGTTGCTGTCCTCTTGTTCTTCAGTCTAGTTGTGGAGGGCACTACTTCACTGGCCCATGTTTGTATTGTGATCATTGTGCTCTTCCTGGCTAAGGCAGTCAGTTGCCAGCCATTGGATGGCGGCTGACGGTGGCTCATGGCAGCTCTTGCTGGCTGCCGGCCACTCACGGTAGCTCACAGCAGCCCACTACAGCCCCACTGCAGCCTACACCGTCTCCGGCCACTCACGCTGCCCAGCTCCATGTCGACCTGTTGTTCACAATCTTATCCGTAGAGGGTGCAGTGTCACTGGTCCATGTGGGAACCGAACCAGTGGCTCTGCTGCTCGGAGCTCGCACTCCCAAACCAACTTTTAACCAATTGAGCCACTCAGCTGGCCCAACACTTATAATTATTTCCGGCCACACAAGATATATGTATAATATACATTGATGTATTTAATGCATTGTTTAGAAATACCTGTAGAAAATCAAATCATTTCTGAATGTGTTGCTGTTTAGAGACCCTGGAAGCTATCAGGTTTTGGTGCCAAGGGTTTAAGAGTCTTTTGGTATACTCATAATTGTTGGCTTGGATGTTTTTCTGTTCTACCCAAATTAATAATATATAAATGAACATTAGGTACATAAGTTTATAAACTTACTTTAGTTCATAGCTCCATCTTTCTCTGTAAGGATTAACTTTTGAAAAATTATTATCAGTATTCCCTGCAACATGTTATGTATTTGATATAATTTCCAATAATTATATTAAATTGAAAAACCAAGACTTTGTTGTCTAATTTTATACAATTAAAATGGAGGGAAATACTGTTTTACATTGATTAACTTTTAGAAATTTTGAAAGGTCAGTAGGCATTTTGAAAATAAATGAAAAGTAGCGTAGTTTCTCCAAAGATGGAAAGTTTTTACCTGTCAGCTATTATATTTTCTATATTGTATTTATTTATAGTCTGTTTCAATCCACAAAGAAACTTTAAAAATATATAAACCAGAGTGACATCAGCAAGATGGTGGAATAGGAAGCTCCAGGCCCTCCATCCTCCATGGAGACACTGATTTAACAATATACAGATCAGACTGTGTTCCTGAGAACTTGAGAAACCAGTTAATAGATTACAGCACCCCAGGCAAGTGCAAGGCCAAGAAGAAGTTCATTACAGTGGTAGGAAAGCCCGTTGCACTTACTGGTCATACCTAATCCTATTCCTGGCACAGCACAGCACTTCATGATCAAGAGAAAATTCCCAGTTTATGGCTTCTCCTTCAGCTGGGAAAGAAGGGTGAAATGTGCAACCGACACCCTGACTTTTTGGGATACTGCTCAAGGGATTGGTTTTTGTCTCACCTAAGTCTTGGAACACTGACAGGAAAGGTGGCAGCCCTCTTGGTTACCTGGTGGCCTGCTGAAAATAAAGGCAAGCCCCAGTGGCTTGCTATAGCACTAGAGACTGCAATACTTCATAAAGACACTAGGGGGAGCTCCTGAATAGAAGTAGACCAACCTCTTCAGCTGGGAAATTATACAAGCCCAGAGGAAACCAACAGAAAAGGTTTGAGAGAACCCCAAAATCTCTAGGCAGGTTGGTGAAAATCACTGTACAAAACTAATACATAAGGAGTAACAGGGTTGACTGTATTTTCAAATGCCCAAATTTTAACAGAGAATAACAAGGCATACAAATATGAAAACATGACCTAATCAAAGGAACAAAATAAATCTTCAGAAACTGACCCAAAAGAAAGGGAACCGATTTGGTTATCTGACAAAGCATTTAAAATAACCATCATAAAGATGCTCAATGAGTTTAAACAGAACACAGACAACTACATGAAATCAGGAAAATGGTATATGAACAAAATGAGAATATCAACAAAGTGATAGAAACTATATAAAAGAACCAAACAGATTCTGAAGCTGAAGAATACACTAACTGAATTGAAAAATTCACTAGAGGGGATCAACAGCAGACTCTTATAAGCAGTAGAAAGAATTGGTGGGCTTGAAGACAGGCCATTTGAAATTATCAAGTTAGAGGATCAAAAAGAACAAAGAATTAAGAACCCCTAAAGGACTTAAATGGGACACTGTCAAGCAGACCAATACATACATGTCTAGGAAATAAGCACTGTGCTTTACTCTTACACTCACAATACCTCTGACGCCAGATGTGTGGATGTTTTTTCACACACACCAATTCTCAGAAAGCTGGGTGTCCTACATTTTAGTTCCCTAAGTAGTGGGTCCCAAAGTAACCCACAACTTCTGTTTAACTTGGTTATAAATTGATGGGTCCCACAACACCCTTCTTTGATTTCAATAATTTGATAGTTTTCACAGAACCCAGCAACACATTTTACTTATTACAGGTATTCCCCACTTTCTAAAAGTTTGCATTGTGCCACTTTACTTTTATGAGAGACCTACATTAGTAACTTTTCACTAACTGAAAGGAATCTATAGAGAATTTTTGCTTTAATGAAAAAGTTATTACTGTACTTATGTAGGTCTTTTGTAAAAGCAAAGTGGATAATATGAACTACTGGAAAGCGGGGGATGCTATTTGCTTTACACCATTTTGGCTTACAAAAGTTATCTTAGGAATGCTTTACTTCAGATAGTGGAGGAAACCTATATTGCTGATTTATTACAAAGGATATTTTAAAGGATACCAATGACGAGGCAGATGAAGAGATATGTAGGATGAAGTCTGGAAGGGTCCTGAGAGCAGAAGCTTCTGTCCTTGTGAAGTTGAGGTATGCCACCATCCCAGCATGTAGATGTGTTCACCAACCTGGAAGCTCCCAAACTTGACATTTTGGGAATTTCTATGGAGGTTTTATCATGTAGGCATGATTGATTATTAACTCAATCAGAGAATGGGGGGTTGTCCTGAGACTACCAAGCTTCTAATCATGGCTTGATCTTTCTGGTAACCAGCCCCTATCCGAGCATCCACCACGATTTTCCTCATTAGGACAAAAGATGCTCCTATCACCCAGATAATTCAAGGGATTTAGGAGCTCTGTGTCATCAGATGCCCCTATCACTCAGGAAATTACAAGGATTTTAGGAGATTTGTGTCAGGAACTGGGGTAAAAGAACAAAGATCAGAATAAAAGATGCTCCTAGCATTCCTATATACAAGGGTTTTAGGAGTTCTATGTCAGGAACTTGGGTTAGAGATCAATATATATATTTCTTATAATTTCACTATGCATTATGAGAGTTGCAGACAAGGAGAAAAAGGTGCAGAGAGCCAATTTGAAGAAGTAATGACTGAAAACTTCCCAAATTTGAAGAAGGAAACAGATACACAGTCATGAAGCTGAAGGAATTCCGACTAGGATTAATCCAAAGAGACCTCTTCTGAAACACTTTATAATCAAACTCCCGAGTCACAGAGTCTTTTTTTTTTTTTNAAGCCACACCAGTTTTTCAATTCCAGTTTAATACCACAGATTTATTTTTGACTTTCCATATTTGTAATCCCCTTCTCCCACAGTGAGAAACTTGATCCCATTTGATTCAGTGTATTTACTTATTTGCTTCATTCCCAATGTACGTAACCAGTCTCCTGGATGAGCCAGTTTATTACCTTGACTCAGTGCCAGCTGGTCACAGGCTGAAAGTTTGGTCCAATGAAGAGGAAGAGAATAGGCAGAGAATATATGTAAAATTAAAGATATCAGTTAACTTGTTTACAGAAAGATCTTAATCATTTATACTTTAAAGTAACTTAGTTTCAAGATTTCTTGAATTCTGAAACTGTAGTATGGTTTTTAAGATTTCATTTATTCAGATATATTTTAAATACGATAGCTTTAGTATTGAATAATTGAGTTTGTTGATGGAATATTTGATATATTATCAAATGACTGGGGATAGTTTAGAATTTGACATATTGCCAGATACTGTGACAGTAAGTACTATGTTTTTTTCCTTTAAGTTAATAGAGCTGTTTGGGAAGAAATGGTGAATGCCTGCTGGTGTGGTCTGCTTGCTGCTCTCTCACTCCTTCTTGATGCCAGGTATTAAGTCTTTGTAAGTTTAATATTGCATGTGACAGTTAAATAAACATTAAAATTGTTCACTTAAATTTGTCCTGAGAATTTTTTCCTAATATTCCTATTTTATGTGTATAACAGTATTCTTTTCCTGCAATCCCCCTCTCCCATCCTATCCTTTCCATACTTTCCACCAGAATTGTTGTCACAATGTTTTAATGGAAAATACAATCCTAAAATTATAGAACTTCTTTTTTATTTTAAGCCTTACTACTGCTTTTGCAATTATGATGATGATATTCAATTTCTTTGATGTTTTTCTTCAGATCACAGAATTTACTGATTTTAAAATGCTTAATATTTTTCCTTTTTTTTTAAATTAAAATTTATTTGGGTGACAATGCAATGGTTAGTAAAATTACATAGATTTCAACTGTACAATTCTGTAATACATCATCTATATATCACATTATGTGTTCACCACCTGGAGTCAGTTCTTCTTCCATCTTAATATTTTTAATTTTCAGATATGTTGGGTTGTCGGAGAAGTTGTGATGCATTTTTGCAACGAAAAACATAGAAAAAATACGTCATGACTTTTCCGACAACCCAGTAAGTTAGTTAAAATTCCGTCTTAAGTATATTGATTTTGACAATTTTAAATAGATTTTCTTAAAACTTCACTTACCTAACTCTACATCATGTTTGTACCATAATTAAAAATAAATCGTATTAATCACATTAAATGAAATACTTAATTTTTTTCAGCACAGATGAAGCTGCCACTGAGAATATTTTAAAAGCTGAACTGACTATGGCTGCTCTTTGTGGAAGACTGGGCCTTGTAACTTCAAGAGATGCCTTTATAACGGCGATATGCAAAGGTTCCCTGCCTCCCCATTATGCTCTTACTGTACTGAATACCACCAGTGCAGCCATGCTTTCCAACAAATGTAAGACTTCAGTTTGCTCAAAGTCCTGTTCATCTAGTGGGGTGACATGGAGTAGAGAAAAGTTTACAGAAATTCTGATTTCAAGCCTCTGCTTTTTTACTCACTGACTGTCACCTCTGTGAGAAGTTAATGTCCCTGAGCCTCAATTTCTTCCATCTTTTTAAAACAACGGAAGTGGAGTCGGGAGGATAATACCAATTTTAAACAATGCTAAGAATAAAAATAGAAAAATCTGGAAGTCCTTTGTATACTACAACATATTGTTGAAATGGTGGTGGTTTTTTATTTTTCTCTAATGGAATTAGTAGAACAGTAATATTTGCAAATACTTTAGAGTAAGCTGATATTCAAAAAAATTTTTCTTGTTGAACACTTTGAAAACATTCAAGTTTGTTACATATAATATAAATGTTTCTGTATGATATTCAGTTTTTTAACTGAAAGTGTATTGATCTATAACTTTAACTTGACAAATTTATTGGGAATATATGTATAAAATATTTAGTGTCCAATTTCTATTTTGCTTATGAAGAAAGTTTTATAATTTGTTAAAGTTATATACAAAATTACTTTACCTAATATTTGCCCTTTTTTTTTTTTGCAATTCCTGAATTTTTAAAATGTTTTCATATATTAGTAGTTAACTAAATAAGTGTCATAGTTGAACTTAGTTTAATCAAATTTATGTGTTAAAATTTAACATTACTTTGAATGTACATAAAAAGTATATTTTAATTATTTAGATATTCTTTTGTCTTCTAGCATATTCCATTCAGGGCCAAAATGTTATGATGATAAGTCCATCAAGTGAATCTCATCAGCAAGTTGTGGCAGTGGGTCAACCACTAGCAGTTCAGCCTCAAGGGACAGTAATGGTAAAGTACTTGTTCTATTTTTGATTACCAATTAACTATCAGGGAAACTTTTATACCTTTTTGTGTGTGTTTGCCAAAATTTATCATAATACTTGTTTACTTATTTATTTACCTGGGTGATACCTTTAGAAGAAACTAGATAAATATACAGTTGACATTATCATAACCAACTATGATAATACAACTTTTAAGCAAATGAAATTGTTCTATACAAAATCATCCAAACCTATTTTATTAATATTTTTGTTTAGAAAATATTTGAATATCATAATGCTGCTTTACAAGCTTTTAGTTTTCAAGAATGCATAACAGTTCTTGCAAATATATCCTTTTTTAATATAGCTAACTTCCAAAAATATCCAGTGTATGAGGACTTTACTTAACTTGGCACACTGTCATGGGGCTGTTCTTGGAACATCATGGCAACTTGTCTTGGCAACTCTACAGGTATGTTATGGTCTCTGGGTCAGAAGTCAGTATTGTTTTTATATCTAAGTGCTAACAGTTAAACTAAGCAACGCCTATTGGTACTTTGAGCAGGCCGAAGGAGTAGACAGTAAGTATGAAAAAGGAGAAGCTGGAAAAGAAAAAAGACATATTTTATGAAGTAATGGAATGCTTTTCATAATAGCCTGAGTTCTACTGCCTGTCCGTGGTTTAATAAGTATTTTATATGAATATTAATTACTGATTTAAATTTAGTTAATTAGAAAGCTGCAGATTTTAGTTTTAGTTATTAAAAGTTACTGCTGAGTTTTAATTTTAGTTATTAGAATGTTTATAACTTTATCAATTATTTTGTTTTAATTTTTTAAATTTTTTAGCATCTTGTATGGATTCTGGGATTAAAGCCTTGTAGTGGTGGTGCCTTGAAACCTGGGAGAGCTGTAGAGGGACCCAGTACAGTAAGTACTAGTTAGTCTTACTCAGTTAGTGCTTCCCAAAATATACTACATATTTTGTACTTCATATACTACATTCAGTTTTATTCTTCTCTTAGGTTCTAACAACAGCAGTGATGACAGATTTACCAGTGATTTCCAATATACTTTCAAGATTGTTTGAAAGTTCACAGTAAGAGTCAGTTTTTTTAAATTGATAGAAACATTAGCTATATATTTTAGATCAGGATGTCTTATTTCTTCATTTTTTGTTTTAGGTATCTTGATGATGTATCATTGCACCATTTAATAAATGCGCTTTGCTCCTTATCCCTAGAAGCAATGGATATGGCCTATGGAAATAATAAGGTGTGATATTCTACCTTTTTGTTTTAAATATAGTACATTATTTAGTTAAATAAGGTGTTACTTGGTATGTTGTTAGTGTTTTACTAATGGGACCAAAACATAGTAGGCTAACCCTACTCTGTTGGGTTTTTACCATTTATGATTGTTATTTGTTGAAGGGGGAAGTGAAGAGGACATGATTTGACTTGTGATATGACCCCATACGTATTATGATTTTATCCTTTTTTTTTTTTTTTTTTTANTTTTCTTAGTTCTTCTTTCTTCCCCTCTCCAAGTGTGCCATCGCCAATTTCTTGTACTGCTTCTGTATTATTCTCCATATTTTGGCCTTAGTCTCCTTGATTTGGGGAACAGAAAGGGTGGGGAGATAACAGCTACAGAAAAGATTGAATGTTGCTGTTTGAAGGAAGAGAAAAGCCTACTTCTGTACTTCACTCATCAATTGGGTGTGATTACCCACTAGTAAAACCTCTCTTCACAATAAGGCAGCTCTAGAACTGTTTGCAAAGATGAATTGTTCTGATGTATATGATAATATTTCCTCGGTATTATAATTTGTTACATTGGGACTTAACTTATTAATATGGGAAAGTTCAGACATCCTAGTTCCTCCAATGGCAAAAGTTAGAGGTATGGTAGTTGTGAGGTGAGATGTGATTGATGTAGAAGACTTCCCTCTTATTTCTTTGTGTCTTCTTTATTTAAGCTTGGTCTAAAGATAATCTTTTAGAGGACATACTATGGTAGTAATTCTTATACTTTTTAGTCATAGGACTCCTTTACACTCTTAACAAGTATTGATGAGATTTTGTGTATGTGGATTATTTCTATCATTATTTAGTGTGTTAAAAATTATCTGAGGTGATACTAAAGCTCATGTCACCATAAACATTTATTTTTATGAAAAATACCTATATTTGCCAAAGAAAAAAATTCATTGTTTTATACTTTTTTTTTTGCAAATCTCTGTAATGTCTGGCTTAATAGAAGATGGCTGGATTCTCACATCTTCTATTTTCATTCTTTAGTTTGGGTCAAAGCATATGAAGAAAATCTGACCTCACAAAGATATGTAGTTGGAAAGGCAGAATTATTTTAATAGCCTTATCAGATAATAGTGGCTATTATTCTTTGATACCACACCAAACTGGACCAGTAACACTTTCTTAAAGTGTAGAATCTGAAACCATATTAATGACATTTTTGTACTCTGTTAGATTAAACTTCATTGATTCATCTTGTGTTTCTATTGTATCTTTTACCCATGTGTGATTTTGTAACATCACTTATTTTAGTTGTGCAGATATTCCAAGTGTTAACACTCTATACAGTTCCAAAAAAAAACACATGTTAATATCACCAACCATTTATCAGAAAAGTCTTCTGTTATTAAGAAGCTGTCAAAATGTTCTGGCAGATAACAAGTTTTCCAAAATTCTAATTTTTGTTTGAAAGCTTGAATTTTATCATTGGCAATAAATACTGTCAGTTTCCCATAAAGTGATATGCTTACTTTGTTCATTTTTTAGAAAATGTCTGTAATACACAGAAGTCTAAATAGTTATAGTTGGCTATTTGCTCCTTTGGTTAAGATGGTGTTCCACAGGGATAAAAAAGTGACTAGGTCAGTTCCCAACTGTGCTTTTCCTCCAGATAATCATTGTACTTTGAGACACAGCAAAAGTGCTTTGCGTGTACTTCCTATTTTGTCACACAGAAAATTAGGCACTTATGGGTCAGATTTAATAAAATCAATAATTTTTATTTTTTATTTTAATTTTGTTTTTGTTTATTATGCTTCTTAAGTAAAACAACCTTTTTAAAAAAATTGTGTGTTATGGTCAAGAATACAATGACACTAGTATAGGTTGGTGTTACCGCCATGATTCTTGCTAAAGCATTACCTGTTTTACCCACCATTGTTTTGCATCATCAATACAAATGGCAACACATGGCAATTAATATCTTAGTATTATTATGAAAATAATTGTGATCTCACAGATCCCCTAAAATGGTCTCAGGGACCCCCAGGGGTCCAGGAACCACACTTTGGGAACCACTGTACTAGAGAATCAGTGTATTCACCAGCTTATTTTGTTCTATCAAGTAGCTCAGGGGTGAAGATAATGAATCTTTAGAGGTTAGTTCTGTTAATAATATGTATATGTAGAGTGACTATAGGAAATTATAATACTGCAGACATTTAGGTAAAGGTTTCATATATCTAGTACACTATATCCTTTCCCTTTCTATCATCTGAGCTAGGTGCTTCTCTGTCCTCTGAATCAGTTAGGCTCCATGCCCAGATATCTTTTTAAGAAACATAGCTTTAAGGTATTCATTAAAATTATAAGTGGCCAATACATCTCTTTTCTGCCTTTGACTTAATTGCTTTTAAAAAGCAACAAATGGGTCTAAACCAACCGATTGTCCAACCTAATTTTCTACTTCATGTACATTTCTCTAACAAAGGATCTTATCACCAGTAAATCCATGACTCCTGCATTTATACATTCTAGCAGACTTTCTTCATTGTCTGCTTAGCCAACACTTATCTTATGTACATGATTCCTTATTAGACATCTATTAGCATTTCCACCAAGATGACTTTGATTCATTTTAAGCATCACTTATCTCTTGACTATTATCCAGTTCCAAAGAACTATAGGAATTCAGAAACATTCATCACCCTTCATTCTAGTATGATGGAGGTCATGAAGTATCTTTGTGCCACAAGAATTGGACTTAAGCCATGGATACTCATTATGATACCTGTTTCCCTATGAGTGTATCCTCTTGAGGGCAAAGGCTTAACAGAGTAACAGTAGGCACCTTGCACTGATGCCCTTGAAAACAATCCAGTGTCCTCAACACTAGTTCTCTGATCTGACTTTCACACTTGGCAAGGAGGGAGGAAGAGAGAGCAAAGGTCCAGACCTGATGGGAGAGGCTCTTTTACCCAAATCACAATATTTTAGTGGCTGTAGTATAAATTGCATGATTGATTTGTACTGTAGTCACTCTCTCACAGGAGAGGAAATGATACAACCTTCAAGGCAAGTTTTTTAACAGTAATCACTTTGAATGTGATATACATGTACTTGATCTTTCTGAGAGCGTTTGTTTTCTGGCCCCAAAACCTAACTGACAAGCCTTTGATTCTACCACCACGTTTGTATTCCACTTTCACTCTAAAGCAGTAAGTGCACATTTTGAAGGACCTACTAATGTTAAAACTCTTCAACAGATACAGCTGTTGCCCAGTGAGTCACTAGCCTGATTTTTTTTCAGTTCTTTACTAAAAGGGGGTCATTTTGTTTAGAAAAAGTAATAATGCATTCTGTATTTGCATATCACTTTATCTTAACTAGGGACATTTTTATTACGTTTTTCTCACTTGATTTCTCAGGAAGGTGTAGGTCTGTTATAAGAAGATTACCTAGCTTGTCATCCACAAAGTTGGTGGATAAAGAAGCTGAGCCATCTGACTTCTAATCTAGTGCTTCTCAACATCATTTAGGATGGTGACAGCCTCAGCCTGTGACTTCCCCAGTCTAAGGATAAAGTTGTGTTATCCCTCCTACTTTATCCTCATGATTATGTTCTACTTTTAAGCCTCCAGTTAAAAATGCTGAAAGGCATTAGAAAATACCAACTGGTAAGACTTTGAGCTAAAATCCCGAGGGCTACTATAAGCCCCTAAATTCTTGCCCCATATTACTCTCACTCATTTCAGGGCACCCCAGGTGAAATGCCCAATAACCTGCTACACCTGAAGTAGAAGGAAGATTCAGTTTGGCCTAGGGATCACGTCAGGTTAATTCTTACCTCTCATAGGTCCTCAACAAATACATAACAAAACAGTCCATTAACTTCTGAATAAACTGGTTACTTTTTGTTCGTTCAGTCATCAAACGTTTAACAAATAATGTTGAGAATGAACTTTAAACATTTTTCATTTACAAAGAGCTTGCACAGGCAATGGATTGTATTAATAACAAAGGTAATGATACTTATATTTAATAAAGCAAAACTATGTACCAAGCCTTGTTCTCAGTTATATATACTTGTATATATATCTTTTAACCTGTGAAATCCTACACGTGTTCTCTTGTTTTTCCCAAACATAACATATGGTAAACATCCCTTGGCTTAGCCCGTTTCTTTCTTAAGCAGCAAAAGAACACGTGGAAAAACTGTTGTGTATTACTGAAGGGTAGAGCATACATCCTATGAGCATTTTATGCTACCAGCCAGGAATGAGGATGGCATAATGGTGCACAGTGCTTTCTAAAGAATAAGGATAAAAGATGAACTATATTATCAGATCACTAGCGTGAGTTTTCAGGGATGCATTTAGAGAGTCACTGATTATTTTTACTGTTAGATTTTCCATGTATAACTACTTTTCCCTTCTTTTTCTCCACTCATTAAGAATGTTAATTTATTTAAAATTAAAAGATTTTATTGGTTTTTCTATACGACTAAGAACAAGAATGCAATTTACTGTTCTTAGATCTAAAGAAATATTATTATAAAATTTTATATTTTTTAGGTAACTGAATGTGAGATATTTCTGTCACTTCTGGTGAAATTCCTGGATGCAGATAAGCCACAGTGGCTACGAGCTGTTGCAGTAGAATCAATACATAGACTCTGTGTGCAGCCTCAGCTATTAAGGTAAGCCTCGGCAATATTTTGTTAAATGGATAGGGTAATATTTATGCTAGTAGGAAGAGTTTAAGTGTTTATTTCCAAATATTAGTGACTTCTAAACCAACAAAAATGTGTATTATATGTATACGGAGGGGGAGGAGTGTGGGTGTGGAAAAGACCTGGGAGGTGGGCAAAAGTATAGTTAGTAATTGACGTCAGTCGAATTTACTGAGTTCATATGGCCAAGATAATTTTTTTAGAGTACTGACCTCAATCTGAATCTTTGTCCTAAATTAGTAAAGTCACTCAAATGTGATGAAGTTTTAAGTATAGCATTAAGACTGGTTTATTAACATTACTTGCTATTTTAAAAAAAATGTCTAAAAATTTTAATATATCCAAATATTTTCCCCAGAAACATTTAAAATTATTTTACAGGTCATTTTGTCAGTCCTATGATATGAAACAACATTCTACCAAGGTGTTTCGTGATATTGTGAATGCACTGGGGTCTTTTATCCAGTCATTGTTTCTTGTCCCTCCTACTGGAAATCCTGCTACAACAAACCAAGCTGGTAAAGGCTTATTCATATTTTCATTTTTATATTGTAATAATTTACAATATTCACTATTCTGAGAGGATAGTTTATAGAAATCATGTGGCTAGAGAAATTTGGATTACTTAAGTGCATTGTATATATTTTATATTTTGTTATACTTATTTATAATAGTTTATATATAAGTATAAATAAAGACATACTTAAAGAATAATTTGATCTCACTGAGGCAAGTGTGTGTATTTCTTTACAGAACATGTTTTCTTCTCTGATATACTTTCACTTCCTCTAATCACATAACAAAAGTTTAGATGCTAATCTTCATTTTAGAAGAATCTTCATTTGGTGCCTCTCTTTACAAGAGTCTGGTTACTACCTTGGGAGGTCTGTTAGTCCCCCTTTTAATAAAACAGGGGAACTTGATTTTTTAAGTTTGGAAATCAGTATATGTCTTCTTGTTTCCCTTTACCTTTTTTCTCTTCCACTTTTTACTATCTGATTAGTAGCTTTTTATTCTTCATTCCCACCTCTGATAAAAAGTGATCTAATAAAAGGTAATTATAAAATTTGTCTATGTTTTTATTTGTACCTTTATATAAAAAAGGGAATGGTGTTTTGGGGAAACAGGGAGACCCTCTAATAGTCAAAATAGGATTGATAGATTTCATTTATTTGTGCAGTACCCATTTCTATAGCACAAAATTCTTTTTAATTGACCAGATATTTAGATATTATTGATTTGTGATTAAGTAGTAAATTGGTATCTTTGCTTTTCCCCCTTTATCTAATAGGAAACAATAATTCAGGTGGCACTGTCTCAGCACCAGCTAACTCAGGAATGTTGGGGATTGGTGGAGGTGTTACTTTGCTACCAGCATTTGAATATAGAGGAACTTGGATACCTATCCTGACTATAACAGTACAAGGCAGTGCTAAAGCAACCTAGTAAGTAGTAGTAGCATTATTTTGTAAGGAATTATTTGTTGGGAATTATATTTTATCCTAAAAGGTTTCTCTTTGTATTATACTTGAAATTTTAAACCTAGTATTTTTAATACATTTTAAAACTAATTTTCTTTTGTGGTGTTATAAGAATTTTATCTAGGACTGGATTTTGTTTGTTTTCTTTTGTACTCCTTTTTAGACTGTTAACAACATTATACAACAGAATGTGGTTTCTTTACCTAAGGACCTATTCAGCTCTTCTGTATGGTTTTTTTATTTAAATATAGGGCTTGATTTCAGACCCTGTGAACTTAGGTCTTCTAATACTGAGTTACCTTCAGCAAATAAGTTCACTTTTTAAAAATCTCAGTTCCCTCATGTGTAAAACTGGAGTACTAATATATCTACTTTTCAGCCAGAAAATTTTAATTGTTCTTTTGTACATAGGCTAGTATATGTTCACATTGGAGCTTCCCTGTTGAATTGGCATCGTTCATTCATTCGTTGTGAGGTTCAGTATAAAATGATTTTCACTATTTTCTTTGAAGGTGTACATATAAATCTTAAATGTATGTTCTATTCTTTTAGGTTTCTTAAGTGTAATAATTTGAAAACATAACTGATATATAGACAGAAGTAGTTTTGACATAAGTATTGGTGACATTATGTTCTTTCAGATTTATTACACTATGGCTCCCTTCAAAGTTGGTCTTGCAACAGTTTTTGCAACTTGACCTTAATTTTAAAATACTTATATAAATGGGTTACATTTTATCTAAAAGAGGAATTTATGTAGTAATTCTAATAAAATAGCACCAAAACAGTGAGGTAAGAAAGTTTGGACTTTGTTTAGGTTTGTAGTATCAATAAAAATAAGTACAAATTACCTTTGTCTCTTAATTATTCTAGCACTTAAACTCTGTACCATAGATTTGGAAATTGGAGTTTCTGATATTTAGGATTGTTTTAGCTGTTTTAGATGCATTTTCCCAATAGATCATATGTTGTTTGAGAGCAGAGATTTGTCTAACAAAGATGCTTAGTATGTGGCTTATTGGTTTAGTATGTGACTCTCTATATGGCTAATTGGCCTGGCCAAGATTAGACCCATAAACTTTACCTCCCCATTTGAGCTTAAATTTCTTGATCAATAATATAAACATATTTTTAATGATTACCTAAATTTTAAAATGCTCAGAGTTGGCACGTATTAGAGGTTAAGTTGATAGACTTTAGATTCATA